CAGTCGAAATCATGAATCAGCTGGCATAATTTTTAAGGATATATACAAAAGAAAAAAAATCTATTGAAAAAAGGTACAACGAAACGCAATAATTTGCAGTCTTTCCAGCTTCAGTTTGAAGTGATTGTGTTACTGTAGCTGTGTTGTTGGCCAGCTCCTCTGAACAACAGTGTCCTGACCAGAGAGCACATTCTCTATGCCAGGCGAAATCGCGCCTCATTAGCTCATTGTTATGGATGTGTCCAAATAAATGTCACTAGAAAACAGCTTAAACAAACGCAAATGCAGCTACTTTGCTGGCTGTTATTCTGGCTGCACTTTTTGACGTGACTGTAAGTTAGCCGTAATTGGATAGCTAGCAGGCAAGGGATAAGAATGTTGCCAGCCAGTATGGCAATGGAACATTTAGACTGAACGACTGGGAACAGATGTCCATAGATACAGAACAAAAAGACTGAACGACTGGGTCGTGTGTGTGTGTGTGAGGTGTGTGTGTGAGACAGTGGATATTATCCCCTCCCTCCAGATGGTGTTTTAGACGGCAACAAATGACTATCTACTCCCACTGAGATTAAAATAATATGCATGCATTTACAAATCTGTACTGGCACAAAAACTACAATGAAATTAACGAGTTCTGCCATGCAGGCACAATAAGCAGGAGACTAATGGCTACAGTGGTGACTTCATCATCATAGAACAGGTAGAAGAGATGGGGAGGGAGGGAGGGCAGGGGGGGGGAGGGGAAAGGGGGAGGCATGGGGGAGGGGGAGAGGGGGAAAGAGGGAGGGAGACTGCTGTATTAGCATGCTAATGTATTCTTAGGAGGCCGGAGCACAGACAGGGGATATAACCTTGCCGTGACATGAAAGGAATGTTGAGACAACATGAGCCGACCTGCTGTGGCTTCACGCAGTGGCCCCATCTCCCTAAGATGTGTGAGTGAGTGAGTGAGTGAGTGATTGAGTGACTGAGTGAGTGAGTGAGTGAGTGGAGTGAATGATTGAGTGAGTGATGAGGAGTGAGTGAGTGGAGTGAGTGAAGTGAGTGAATGACTGAGTGAGTGGACTGAGTGAGTTGAAGTGAGTGCCGGGAGATGGAGTGAGTTGAGTGAGTGAAGTGAGTGGAGTGACTGAGTGAGGAGTGAGTGAGTGAGTGACTGAGTGACTGAAGTGACTGAGTGACTGAGTGAGTGAGTGATTGAGTGAGTGCGATGAGTGAGTGAGTGAGTGAGTGAGTGAGTGAGTGAGTGAGTGAGTGAGTGAGTGACTGACTGAGTGAGTGAGTGAGTGAGTGAGTGAGTGACTGAGTGACTGAGTGAGTGACTGAGTGAGTGAGTGACTGACTGACCAGGCCTATACAATAACAGAATATGCAGGCTGTAAATGAGAAGTTAGCCTTTATGAAAGAAAAGGTTGGAGAACCCTGCGCTACATTTTATTAATTCTATTGCAGATTCGGGGGCCTCAATTTATGGATATACAGTGCCTGTAGAAAGTCTACACCCCATTTTGTTGCGTTACAAAGTGGGATTGAAATAGATTTAATTGTACTTTTTGTCATTGGTCTACACAAAATACTCCATAATGTCAGAGTAAAAATAAAATTCTACAAATGTTTACAAATTGATACAAATGTAATACATGAAACATAGTCGTTCCCAGATGTATTCACCCCCTTTGTTAAGGAGAGCCTAAATTAGTTCAGAAGTAAAATTTGGCTTAACAAATCACATAATAAGTTATATGGACTCATTATGTGTTAAATAATAGTGGTTGACATGATTGTTAATGACTAACCCTTCCTCTGTCGCCCATACATTACAGCATCTGGAAGGTCCTTCAGTCAAGTATTGAATTTCAAGCTCAGCTTCAACTACAAAGACCAGGGAGCTTTTAGAAAGCCTCATAAAGAAGGGCAGTGATTGGTAGATGGGTAACAACAGCAAATCAGACATTCAACATATCTTTAAGCGCGGTCAAGTTAATAATGATGCTGTGGATGATGTATTAAACCACCCAGACACATCAAAGATGCAGTCGTCCTCCTGAACTGAGTTGCAGGACCAAGAGGCCATCGGTGGCTTTAAAACAGCTACAGAGTTCAATGGCTGTGATGGGAGGAAACTGAGGATGGATCAACAACATTGTATTGACTCCACAATAATGACCTAAATGACAGTGTGAAAAGAAGAAATAAATAAACATGTATGCAACAAAGGCACTAAAGTAAACAAATACACTTTGTGGCCTAAATGCAAAGCCTTATGTTAGGGCCCAACACATCACTGAGTAACTGCCTCCTTATTTTCAAGCATGGTGGTAGACGCATCATGTTATGGGTATGCTTGACATCGGCAAAGACTGGGGAGTTTTTCAGGATGAAAAAAACAAAAACAGGATGGGAGCTAAGCACAGGCAAAATCCTAGAGGAAAACCTGCTTCAGTCTGCTTTACACCAGACACTGGGAGATGAATTCACCTTTCAAATTTAAAAACCCCTTTTTTTGGGGGGGGTTTTTTTTTCCCCAAAATTGGGAAAAAAAAGGTTAAAAAAAACAAAAAATTTTTAAAAAAAAAATTTTTTAAAAAAACCCTTAGGTTTTTTAAACCCCCCGGGGAAAAACCAAAAAAAACCCCCAAAAAAAACCCAAAAAAAAAAAAAAGGGGGGGGGAAAAACCCGGGGGTTTTTTAAAAATTTAAAAAGAAAATAAAAAAAATTTTTTAAAAAATTTTTTTTTAAAACCCCCCCAAAAACCCCAAAAAACAAAAATTTTTTAAAACCCCAAAAATTTTTTTCCCTTTTTTAAAAACCAAAAAAAAATTTTTTTAAATTTAAAAAAAATTTTTTTTCCAAAAAAAAAAAAAATTTTAAAAAAATTTAAAAAAAAAAAAAAAGGGAAAAAAACCAAAAATTTTTTTTTAAAAAAAAAAGGGGGCCCAAAAAAAAAAAAAAATTTTTTTTAAAAAAATTTTAAAACCCCCTTTTTTTAAAGTTAACCCCAAAACCCCCTTTTTTAAAAAAAAAAAAAAAAAAAGGGGGGAAAAAAAAATTTTAAAAAAATTTTTTTTTTAAAAAAAACAAAAATTTTTTCCCCAAAACCACAAAAAAAAAATTTAAAAAAAAAAAAACCCCCCCCATTTTTTTTTTTTTTTTTAAAAAAAACCCCCCCAAAAAAAATTTTTGGGTTAAATTTTTTTTTTTAAAAAAATTTTGGGGGAAAAAGGGGGGAAAAAGGGGGTTTTTTTTTAAAAAAAAGGGGGGGGGAAAATTTTTAAAAAAATTTTTTCCCCTTTAATTAAAGTTTTGGGTTTGGTTTTAAAAAAAAAGGGGGGTTTTTTTTTTAAAAAAAAAAAAAAAATTTTTTTTTGGAAAAAAAAAAATTTTAAAAAATTTTTCCCCCCAATTTTTTTTCCCCCCCCCCAAAAAAATTTCCCAAAATTTTTTTTTTTAATTTTTTTCCCTTCCCCCCTTTCCCTTTTTTTTTTTTAAAAAAAAAATTTCCCCCCTTTTTTTTTTTTTCCCCTTTTTTTCCCCCCCCCCCTTTTTTTTTTTTTCCCCCCCCCAAAAACCCCCTTTTTTCCCCCCCCTTTTTCCCCCCTTTCCCCCCTTTTTCCCCCTTTTTTTTTCCCCTTTCCCCTTTCCCCCCTTTTTTCCCCCCCCCGGTTTTTTCCCCCTTTTCCCCCCCCCCGGGGGGGCCCCCGGGGGGTTTTTTTTCCCCCCCTTTTTTTTTTTTTTTTTTCCCCCCCCCCCTTTTTTTTTTTTTTTTCCCCCCCCCTTTTTTGGGGGGGCCCCCCCCCTTTTTTCCCTTTTTTTTTTTTCCCCTTTTTTTTTTTTTTTTAAAAAAATTTTTTTTTTTTTTTCCCCCCCCCCCTTTTTCCCCCCCCCTTTTCCCCTTTTTTCCCTTTTTTTTTTTTTTGGGGGGGTTTTTTTTTTTTGGGGGCCCCCCTTTTTGGGGTTTTTTTTTTTTCCCTCCCCCTTAAAAATTTTTTTTTTTTCCCCCCCTTTTTTTTTTTTTGGGAAAAGGGGGGGTTTTTTTTTCCCCCCCCCTTTTTTTTTCCCAAAATTTTTTTTTTAAAAAAACCCCCTTTTTTTTTTTTCCCCCCCCAAAATTTTTTTTTTAAATTTTGGGCTTTTTTAAATTATTTTAAATTTTTTCCCCCGGGGGGAAAAAAAATTTCCTCCCCTTTTTTTAAAAAATTTTAAAAATTTTTAAAAAAAATTTTTTTTTTTTTAATTTAAATTTTTTTTTTTGGGTTTTCCCCCTTTTTCCCCCCCCCCCCTTTTTTTTTCCCTTTTTTTCCCCCCCCCCCAAAACCCTTTTTTTTTTTTTTCCCCTTTTTTTTTTTGGTTTTTTCCCCCCCCCCCCCTTTTTTTTTTTTTTTTTTTCCCCCCCCCCCATTTTTCCCCGCCCCCCCCCCCCCCCCCGGGGGGGTTTTTTTTAAAAAAAAGGGGGGGGGGGGGCCCCCCCCTTTTTTTTTTTTTTTCCCCCCCCCCCCCCTTTTTCCCTTTTGGGCCCCCGGGGTTTTTTTTTTTTTTCCCCCCCAAAATTTTTCCCTTTTTTTTTTTTTGGGGGTTTTTTTCCCCCCCCCCCCCTTTTTTTTTCCCCCCCCCCCCCTTTTTTTCCCCCCCCCCCCCCCCTTTTCCCCCCCCCCCCCCCCCCCCCCTTTTTTCCCCCCCCCCCTTTTTTTTTCCCCCCCTTTTCCCCCCCTTTTTTGGGGGGGGGGGCCCCCAGAACCCCCCCCCGGGGTTTAAATTTTTTTAAAAGAAATTTTTCCCACCCCCCCCCCCCCCCCCCTTTTTGGGGGGGGAAAAAAGGGGAAAAGGGGTTTTTTTTTTGGGGGGGGGGGGGGGTTTTTTTTTTTTCCCCCCTTTTTGCAAAAAAAAAAAAAAAATTTTTTCCCAAAAAAAAAATTTTTTAAAAATTTTTCCCCCCCCCCCGGGGGGGGAAAAAAAAAAAAGGGTTTTTTAAAAAATTTTCTAAAAAAAAAAGGGGGGAAAAAAAATTTTTTTTTTCCCCCCCCAAAAAGGGAAAAAAATTTTTTTAAAAAAATTTTTCTTTTAAAATTTTTGGGGGGCAAAAAAGGGCCCCCCCTTTTTTCCCAAAATTCTAAAATTTTTGGGGGAAAAAAAAATTTTTTTTTAAAATTTTTTTTTTTTAAAAATTTTTAAAAAAAAAAGGGGGGCCCCCAAAATTTTAAAAAAAATTTTTTCCCCTTTTAAAAAAATTAAAAAATTTTTTTTTTAAAAAAAATTTTTTTTTTTTAAAAAAAAAAAAATTTGAAAAAAAGGGTTTTAAACCCCCCTTTTTTTCCCCTTTTTTTTTTTTTTTTCCCCAAAAAAATTTTTTAAAAAAAAAAAAAAAAAAAAAAAAAAAAAAAAAAAAAAATTTTTTTTTTTTTTTGGGGGAAAAATTTTCCCCCCCCAAAAAAAAATTTTTTTTAAAAAAAAAACAAAAAAAATTTAAAAAAAAATTTTTTTTTCCATTTTTAAAAAAAAAAAAAACCCCCCCAAAAGAAAAATTTTTTCCCCCCTTTTTTAAAAAAAAGGGGAGTTAAAATTTTAAAAGGGGGTTTTTTTTTGGGGTTTTAAAAAAAAAAAATTTTAAAAACCCCCCCCCCGGGGAAAAAAAAAAAAAAAGGGGGGGAAAAAAAAAAAACCCCCTTTAAAACCCCCGCAAAAAAAAAAATTTTTTTTTGGGGAAAAAGGGAAAAAAAAAAAAACCCCCCCCGGGGGGGGGGGAAAAAAAGCCCAAAAAATTGGAAACCAAAACGGGAAAAAACCCCGAAAATTTAAAATTTTGGGTTTGGGGGGGCCCCCCCCCCCAAATTTCCCCCTTTGGGGGAAAAAAACCCCCGGGGGGGGTTTTTAAAACAAAAAAGGGGGGGGGGGTTTTTTTCCAAAATTGAAAAAAAAAAGGGGGGTTTTTTTGGAAACCCGGAAACCCAAATGGGGGGGGAAAAACCCCCGGGAAAAAAATTTTTGGGGGGGAAAAAAAAAGGGGGGGGTTTTTTTTGGGGGGGGGGTTTTTTAAAAAGGAAAAGGGGGTTTTTTTGGGGGAAAAACCCCCTTTTTGGGGGGTTTGGGGGGGGGGGTTTTTTTTTTCCCCCCAAAAAGGGGGGAAAAAAACCCCCGGGGGCCCAAAAAGGGGGGTTTTGGGGGGTTTTTCCCCTTACCCCCTTAAAAATTTAAAAAAATCGGGAGGGGGGGAAACCCCCCAAAACCAAAAAGGGGGGGTTTTAAAAAGGGGGGGAAAAACCCCTTGGGGGGGGGGGGCCCAAAAAAAAAACCCCCTGGTTTGCCAAAAGGGTTTTGCCACCAAATTAATTTTTTTCCCGGGGGGGAAAAATTTTTTTTTAAAAAAAAATAAAAAAATTTTAAAAAAGGGCCCTTTTTTTTTTTTGGTTTTTATTCTGTCTCTCCTTTTTAAAAAAACCAAAAAAAAAAAATTTTTTTTGGGGGAAAAAAAAAAAAATTTTTTTTTTTTTTTTTTAAAAAAAAAATTTTTTTTTTAAAAACCCCCCCCTTTTAAAGGCCCCGGGCCCCTGGTAAAAAAGTTAAATAAAAAAGGGGGGGGGAAGGGGAAAAAGGGGGGGGGCCCCTTTTGGGGGGTTTTTTTTGGGGTTTTTAAAAATTTTTTGGGGGGTTTTTTTTTTTCCCCCGGGGCCCCCCTTTTTTTTTTCCCAAATTTTTTTTTTTTGGGGGTTAATTTGGGTTTTTTTTTAAATTTAAGGTTTGGGGGGGGGGGGGTTTTTTAAAAACCCTTTTTTGGGGGGGAAAAAAGGGGGGGGGTTTTTCCAAAAAGGGGGGGTTGGTTTGGGTTAGGGCCCCCTTCCCGGGGGGCCGGGGTTTTTTTCCCCCCAATTTTTCCCCTTTTTTGGGCCCCAAAAAGGGGGGTTTTAAAAAAATTTTTCCCCTTTTCCCCCCCCCCCCCCCCCCCCAAAAAAAAAAAACCCCCCCCCCCCCCCCAAAAAAAAAAAAAAAAAAACCCCCCCCCCCCCCCCCCCCCCCCCAAAAAAAAAAAAAAAAAAAAAAAAACCCCCCCCCCCCCCCCCCCCTTTTCCCCCCCCCCCCAAAAAAAAAACCCCGGGGGGCCCCCCCCCCCCCCCCAAAACCCCCCCCCAAAAAAACCCCCCCCCCCCAAAAAAAAATTTCCCCCCCCCTACCCCTCCCTTTTCCCCCCCCCCCTCCCCCCCCCCCGCCCCCCCCCTCCCCTTTCCCCTTCCCCCCCCCCCCCCCCCCCCCCCCCCTTCCCCCCTTTTTTCCTTTTTCCCCCCCACTCCCCCCCCTCCCTTTTTAAAAAATTTTTCCCCCCCCCTTCCCCCCCCCCTCCCAACCCCCCCCCCTTCCCCCCCAAAAAATTTTAAAATTTTAAAAAAGTGGGGGGTTTTTTTTTAAAAACCGGGGGGGTTTTAAAAACCCCTTGATTTCTTTTTTAAAAATTTCTAGGATGAGGGGTTGAGAGAGTCAGGGATGCGTGGATTCCCTAAACCTTGTTTGTTATTAATGGTGTCGGGTGTCTTCAAAATTTGACATTAGGATAGGGGTTAGAGTCAACTCCTGATCCTAAATCCAGGGCTGCAGAAGATGGTAGCGTATGTGCTAAGAGGTAGTGAAAGGGGACAAACACAGTCGAATTAAGAAGCTACTCCAAAGGAGAGAAAGAAGAACAGAGTAGAAAAAAAACGAAGGAACAACACCGACGAACAAGCAACCCAGCCCCAAGAAGAGAAGCACGCAAAAGAAGAGAAAACACGAGAAAGCAAGCCCACGAAAGAAGCAAGAAGAAAGAGAAAGAAGAGAAGAACAAAGCCACCCACAAAAAACCCCAAAACCCGGAAAAGAACCAAAAAGAACCGCCGAGCAGAAAAGCACGCAGACAGAAGAAGACCAGCAAAAACGGACCGCACGACCCCTCCCGCAGAACCCCACCCAAGCGAGCCCCCCCTCGCCCACCCTCCCAAAAACTCCCCTCCCCACTCCCTCCCCTCCTCCCTCTCTCCCCTCCCCCTCCACCGCCCCCTCTCCTACTCCCCCTGTCCTCCTCTCTCCTACTCCCTCCCTCCCTCCAGATCAAATATAGAAAAGTGTATTAATACACCTGGTACTACCTTCACATTCTGACTCCTGGAACCTCTCAGCCTCTCCTCCCCTCTCCTACTCCCTCCCTCCGTCTCCTCCTCTCTCCAACTCCCTCCCTCCCTCTCCACCTCTTTCCTTTACCTCCACCTCTCCTCTCCTTCACACCTGCTTGGCCTACTGCAGCTGGAGAGAGCGAGAGAGAGAGAGTGAGAGTGAGAGAGAGAGAGAGAAAGAGAGAGAGAGAGAGAGAGAGAGAGAGAGAGAGAGAGAGAGAGAGAGAGAGAGAGAGAGAGAGAGAGAGAGAGAGAGAGTACACACTGGCGGAATACCTGACCACTGTGACTGACCCAAACTTAAGGAAAGCTTTGACTATGTACAGACTCAGTGAGCATAGCCTTGCTATTGAGAAAGGCTGCCGTAGGCAGACCTGGCTCTCAAGAGAAGACAGGCTATGTGCACACTGCCCACAAAATGAGGTGGAAACTGAGCTGCACTTCCTAACATCCTGCCAAATGTATGACCATATTAGAGACACATATTTCCCTCAGATTACACAGACCCACAAAGAATTCGAAAACAAACCCAATTTTGATAAACTCCCATATCTACTGGGTGAAAAACCACAGTGTGCCATCACAGCAGCAAGACTTGTGACCTGTTGCCACAAGAAAAGGGCAACCAGTGAAGAACAAACACCACTGTAAATACAACCCATAATTATGTTTATTTATTTTCCCTTTTGAACTTTAACTATTTGCACGTTGTTACAACACTGTATATAGACATAATATGACATTTGAAATGTCTTTATTCTTTTGGAACTTCTGAGTGTAATGTTTACTGTTAATATTTATTGTTTATTTCACTTTTGTTTTTTATCTATTTCACTTGCTTTGGCAATGTTAACACACGTTTCCCATGCCAATAAAGACCTTAAATTGAATTGAGAGAGAGTGCTGTGTGAGTGCTGTCTGTGAGCTCCTGTCTTTAACTCTCCTACTCTGAGAGCAGCTGGTCCCTAAAGAGAATACTGTGTCTGTGAGCTCCTGTCTTTAACTCTCCTACTCTGAGAGCAGCTGGTCCCTAAAGAGAATACTGTGTCTGTGAGCTCCTGTCTTTAACTCTCCTACTCTGAGAGCAGCAGGTCCCTAAAGAGAATACTGTGTCTGTGAGCTCCTGTCTTTAACTCTCCTACTCTGAGAGCAGCTGGTCCCTAAAGAGAATACCGTGTCTGTGAGCTCCTGTCTTTAACTCTCCTACTCTGAGAGCAGCTGGTCCCTAAAGAGAATACGGTGTCTGTGAGCTCCTGTCTTTAACTCTCCTACTCTGAGAGCAGCTGGTCCCTAAAGAGAATACGGTGTCTATGAGCTCCTGTCTTTAACTCTCCTACTCTGAGAGCAGCTGGTCCCTAAAGAGAATACTGTGTCTGTGAGCTCCTGTCTTTAACTCTCCTACTCTGAGAGCAGCTGGTCAAAATAGCAGCAGCAGTAGCAGAAGCACAATGCATTAGAACAGACACTCAGAGGTTGCATCCCAAATGGCAGCCCTATGGGCCCTGGTCAATAGTAGGGCACTATAAAGGGAATAGGGTGTAATTTGGGACAAGAGTCAGTCTCTTCGCAGCAGTGCAGTCAGAGAAGGCCTTGGTTTCTCTCTCTGGGCTGCTGAAGACTTCCTGTCTGTCTCTGCCAGGTCTCTCTCTCACCTGCTCCTCTCCTGTCCGCCTGGGTCACAGTGCCCCCATTTGGCCACATGTGAGTACTGCAGCTGCTCTCCCCTCTGAAATGACTGGTAATGGTTTGTCCAAGGTGACCCACTGTGTACTGCAGCAGTTCTCCCCTCTGAAATGACTGGTAATGTTTAGATACTAGTTAGTATATATGAATAGTTATATACTAGTTAGTATATATGAATGGTTAGACACTAGTTAGAAATATATGAATGGTTAGAAACTATTTAGTATATATGAATAGCTAGATACTAGTTAGTATATAATGTATGCTTGGTTATGGCCAACCTGTGACCCGAAACAAACTCTTGAGTTGAGAAGCTCTGCTCTGAAATGACTTCTCACTGTGTGAACTAGAGGTGGAGAAAGCAGGCAGTCTGCCCTGGTTTTGTCTGCCTTACCTCTCCCTCTCTCTACCACTCTCTCTATCCCCTCTCTGGCTCCCTCTCCCTCTCTCTCCCTCTGTTGCCTGTCTGTCTGTCTGTCTGTCTGTCTGTCTGTCTGGCGTCGGTCTGTCTGTCTGTGTCTGTCGCTGTCTGTGGTACTGTTGCGGATCGCGTAGGTCTGAGGTAGTCTGCTACCTTACAGCACTCTCGATCTACGGACCTCTATCCGATCGAGCTCACTATGCCTTATGCTGAGACAGAAGCTTCCTAGCGCTGTTGGAGTCAGCGTCGTCGTGAGCTGAGTCTAATATCGTCATCATGTCATCCTCCACTTATCAGCTACGATACAGGACAACATGTCTCGGCTCTCTCTCTGCTCTCTCTCTCGTCTCTCTCTCTCTCTCTCTCTCTCTCTCTCTCTCACTCACCTTACCCCTCTACCTTACCTCAGTGCTTCTCTGAGACATGAATATGGAGCAACGGGGAGAGGATGTAGAACGTTTTAGTCATGAATAAATTCAATCAGACATTCAGCAGGTACCTGACTGGTTTGTAAAGAGAGGAACTGGAGCTTCGGTATCACAAAGTTCTTCTGTTAAAACCTAGTCACTTTAAAATCTTTGGCGTGAAAAAGTTACGGTAGCTTCATGTATTCATAATCTACTCAGAATAGAGACCTGGTTTTCTTCCTCTCTCAGAACTCAACCATCAACTCAACGACCTGCTCATTTAGAACCGGGATCTTTGGAAACCCGGCTTTCTCCACTAATATAAGTCAACTAAGATCGTGATCATTGTGCTGCTCACGGGGCAGCTAGTCACATCTGAAACCTTTGCTTTATATTGGGTCATATTGTGTTGTGTTCCAGACTGTAATGTTAGTCTGTTCTTGTTCTCTAGGAGATCCCGTTCTACCACATCTGGAACGGTTCCCAGCGGTACCTCCACTGTACCTTCACCCTAGAGCGCCTCAGCCTCAGTACCTGTGAGCTCACCTGTCAGCTGTGTGTATGGCAGGTGGAGGGGGAGGGACAGAGCTTCAGCCTCGACTTCAACATCGCCAAGGTAGCGCTCATATATATATATATATACACACGACACGATACTATGATACAATACGCTCCTCCGTGATATACAGTACTACATTACAGAGCTTCAGCCTCGACTTCAACATCGCCAAGGTAGCGCTCATATATATATATACACACGACACGATACTATGATACAATACGCTCCTCCGTGATATACAGTACTACATTACAGAGCTTCAGTCTCGACTTTAACATCACCATGGTAACACTCAGGTCACGTATGATGTATTTCACACAATATGCCCTCTCCAAGATATGTGTTGATATGATATCCAAAGAGATGGACTCCTTTTTCTGGCTCTTAACAATAACAGTTGTTTAATATGTGTGTGGCTGCTACTCTCTATTCCTGTTTATTTGGTTCATATGACCTAAGAAGACAGCAGTCCCCCTGGACTATATAGTTCATGGCTCGTAGCTATACAGGACATGTGTATGTCTCTGTCCCTATGTGTTCCTATATAACCCTTTATATATCCCTCTGGCCCTATAGGACTGTCGGCCCCTGGACTCGGAGTTCCTGCTGATGGACACTAACCCTAACGGGATGGCTCTAGCAGGACCCAGTGCTTTCCAGATCCCCTATCTGATCAGGCAGAAGATCTGCAGCAGCTTGGATACACCTTGTCCCAACGGGGCCGATTGGAGACTGCTGGCCCAGAGACTCAAACTGGACAGGTAACTGACCCTAACCCAAACCCTAACCATAACCCTAGGGGGAGTGAACGAGGCCCTATGTATAGGGCTAAAAGATTGGTTTGGGACTGGGCCTATGTATAGAGATTCAATAAACGTTTGGGACAGGGCCCATGCCTCTCCCATTTAACACGGCTAATTTGTCCCAGTAACTTTCTAATTTAAATCTGGCTTCTTTTAAACAGGAAAGAATCAGAGAGAAAACCCTGATCAATTACCTTCCAATGTAACTTCCTCCTGGTAATGAAGTCTATTAGGTACACTTGTCTCATCAGTTGGATTTACCCTAATTCATTACACATTGGATTGGTGCAGTACAGGTCCAATTAGCCCTGTTTGGCTCAAACTAATCCATTCCCATTTAGTTCCCTTAAAGAAACATCTCCTCTGTCGGGTAAAGGGGCAATCTGGGATCAGTATGTCCATGTTCCGACATTTAAATGAATGATAGACTGCTTGGATAGAAGGGATTTTAGTCCATCTAACATGGATGTATCCTATGGATGTATCCTGCAGCTAATCTAAGACATGCTGTAGTTACGTGTGTGTGTGTGTGTGCATGGGTACGTGTGTGTGTCTGTGTGTGTGTGCATGGGTACGTGTGTGTGTCTGTGTGTGTGTGCGTGGGTACGTGTGTGTGTCTGTGTGTGTGCGCGTGGGTACGTGTGTGTGTCTGTGTGTGTGTGTGCGTGGGTGGGTGTGTGTGAGTGTATGTGTGAGTGGGAGTGTGTGTGTGTGAATACAAGCAGGCAGAGGTGAACGTGACCAAGCGATAAAACACCAAATGTCAGTATTTGATTTTATCTCCCTACTATACAGAACAGTGTGGTATGAAAGGCTGGTTCTCCCTACTATACAGAACAGTGTGGTGTGAAAGGCTGTTTCTCCCTACTATACAGAACAGTGTAGTATGAAAGGCTGGTTCTCCCTACTATACAGAACAGTGTGGTATGAAAAGGGGTTCTCCCCTATATACAAACATGGTGGTTGTGAAGGCTGGTTTCTCCCTACTATACAGAACAGTGTGGTGGTTGAAAGGCTGGTTCTTCCCTACTATACAGAACAGTGTGGTATGAAAGGCTGGTTCTCCCTACTATACAGAACAGTGTGGTGTGAAAGGCTGGTTCTCCCTACTATACAGAACAGTGTGGTGTGAAAGGCTGGTTCTCCCTACTATACAGAACAGTGTGGTATGAAAGGCTGGTTCTCCCTACTATACAGAACAGTGTGGTATGAAAGGCTGTTTCTCCCTACTATACAGAACAGTGTGGTATGAAAGGCTGGTTTTCCCTACTATACAGAACAGTGTGGTATGAAAGGCTGGTTCTCCCTACTATACAGAACAGTGTGGTATGAAAGGCTGTTTCTCCCTACTATACAGAACAGTGTGGTATGAAAGGCTGGTTTTCCCTACTATACAGAACAGTGTGGTATGAAAGGCTGGTTCTCCCTACTATACAGAACAGTGTGGTATGAAAGGCTGGTTCTCCCTACTATACAGAACAGTGTGGTATGAAAGGCTGGTTCTCCCTACTATACAGAACAGTGTGGTATGAAAGGCTGGTTCTCCCTACTACACAGAACAGTGTGGTGTGAAAGGCTGTTTCTCCCTACTATACAGAACAGTGTGGTATGAAAGGCTGGTTCTCCCTACTATACAGAACAGTGTGGTGTGAAAGGCTGTTTCTCTCTACTATACAGAACAGTGTGGTGTGAAAGGCTGTTTCTCCCTACTATACAGAACAGTGTAGTATGAAAGGCTGGTTCTCCCTACTATACAGAACAGTGTGGTATGAAAGGCTGGTTCTCCCTACTATACAGAACAGTGTGGTATGAAAGGCTGGTTCTCCCTACTATACAGAACAGTGTGGTATGAAAGGCTGGTTCTCCCTACTATACAGAACAGTGTGGTATGAAAGGCTGTTTCTCCCTACTATACAGAACAGTGTGGTATGAAAGGCTGGTTCTCCCTACTATACAGAACAGTGTGGTATGAAAGGCTGGTTCTCCCTACTATACAGAACAGTGTGGTATGAAAGGCTGGTTCTCCCTACTATACAGAACAGTGTGGTATGAAAGGCTGGTTCTCCCTACTATACAGAACAGTGTGGTATGAAAGGCTGGTTCTCCCTACTATACAGAACAGTGTGGTGTGAAAGGCTGTTTCTCCCTACTATACAGAACAGTGTGGTATGAAAGGCTGGTTCTGTTAGCTGTGGCCCTGTATGTCGGCTGGGATGGTGAGGTGATCTGTTCCTGTAGAATACAATACAGTACCTTCTCCCACCTGCCTGACTGTCTGTTTGATGTCCACACACACACACACACACACACACACACACACACACACACACACACACACACACACACACACACACACACACACACACACACACACACACACACACACACACACACACACACACACACACACACACACACACACACACCACACACACACACACACACACACACACACACACACACACACACACACACACACACACACACACACACACACACACACACACACACACACACACACACACACACACACACACACCCTCGCTGAAAATAAGCCTGGAAAATTGTCTGAACGCTTTGTCATTCCATTAAAGTGATTTTCACTGCAGTAGGTTAGCAGGAGAGAGTGAAGAATTACAAAGGTCCAGCTGTGTTCCCTATCCAACCGTGGTGAAGCTGAAGGACTGACAGGCTTGCTGACCTTCCTCTACCCTCAACCTCTCCTCACACCCCGACCCCCAACCCTCTACCCCCGACCTCTCCTCACACCCCGACCCCCAACCCTCTACCCCCGACCTCTAGGCTAGTTCCCCCCTCACCTTGATGTGGTACACCCTGCATCGCAGTGCTAGCTGTGCCACTAGAGATCCTGGTTCGAATCCAGGCTCTGTCGTAGCCGGCCGCGACCGGGAGACCCATGGGACGGCGCACAATTGGCCCAGCGTCGTCCAGGGTAGGGGAGGGGAATGGCCGGCAGGGATGTAGCTCAGTTGGTAGAGCATGGCGTTTACAACGCCAGGGTTGTGGGTTCGTTTCCCACGGGGGGGCCAGTATGAAAAAAATTAAAAATAATGTATGCACTCACTAACTGTAAGTCGCTCTGGATAAGAGCGTCTGCTATATGAATAAAATGTAAAATGTACACAACAACACTTAAATCCCCTGACAGTAGGAGGATCAGAAAAAGGCCAATACATGGAACGAGCCACTCCAGATACCTCAGCTGTCATCCTCCACATCACATATTCTACTGAGCTGAAGGACTGGACTGCGTCTCAAATGGCACCCTATTCCCTATATAGTGCACTACTTCTGACCGGAGGCCCATAGGGCTCTTGTCAAAAGAAGTGCACTATATAGGGAATAGGGGTGCCATTTGGGATGCAAGGAACATGTGAGGAAGGACAGGGGTCATTGCATTTAGGTCTATTGATTGGTTGGGTTTGATGTGAAAGGTCAAGGCCTGGAAGTGGAAAAGGTCATTTCCTACTTTAAATGTGAACGATCTTTATGGGATTTATTAAATGTTTTATGTGTGATTTATGTTGGACATTTTTATAATCAAATGCAAAAAGGGGATCCTAACTGCTGAAGGGGAAGGGATATGACTTCTAAAAGGAATGGTTTGATGTATATTGTTGTGCTTGCAGAAGTATACTATATTATAAACTGGGTGGTTTGAGCCTGAATGCTGATTGGCTGAAAGCCATGGTATATCAGGCCGTATACCATGGGTATGACAAAACATTTCTTTTCACTGCTCTAATTACGTTGGTAACAAGTTTATAATAGCAATAAGGCACCTCATATGGGTTTGTGATATATGGCCAATATCCCACGGTTAAGGGCTGTGTCCAGGTACTCCGCGTTGCGTCGTGCTTAAGAACAGCCCTTAGCTGTGGTATATTGGCCATATACCACACCCCCTCGGGCCTTATTGCTTAAGTATAGTATAGTACAGTGTAGTGTAGGATAATATAGTGTAGTGTAATGTAGTATAGTGTGTAGTGTAGTACAGTATTTAGTGTAGTATAGTGTATGATAGTGTAGTATACTATAGTGTAGTATAGTGTAGTATAGTGTAGTAGTGTAGTTAGTAGTATGTGTAAGTGTAGTGTAGTATAGTATAGTGTTAGTATAGTATGTGTTTAGTATAGTTAGTATAGTGTAGTAGTGTAGTATTAGTATAGTGTGTATAGTAGAGGTGTATTAGTGTGTATAGTGTTATAGTTGTTAGTAGTGTAGTATATGTTATAGTATAGTGTAGTATAGTGTAGTATAGTGTTAGGGTATAGTGTAGTAATGTAGTATAGTGTGATAGTGTATAGTTGTATTATAGTGTGGTATAGTGTAGCATAGTATGTAGTATAGTGTAGTATAGTGTATAGTGTAGTATAGTGTATTATAGTGTAGTATATTGTAGTATAGTGTATTACAGTGTAGTATAGTGTAGTATGGTGTGTAGTATAGTGTATTATAGTGTATTATATGGTGTAGTATAGTGTAGTATAGTGTGTAGTATAGTGTAGTATAGTGTGGTATAGTGTAGCATAGTGTAGTATAGTGTATTATAGTGTAGTATAGTGTAGTATAGTGTATTATGTTATAGTGTAGTATAGTGTAGTATAGTGTATTATAGTGTGTAGTATGGTGTAGTATAGTATAGTATAGTGTGGTATAGTGTATAGTATAGTATAGTATAGTAAGGATGCAGAGGAACACAGAGTATGTCAGTAACTTGATGACTGCACTTTACAGTGCAGTATTGGGGGAAGGACACATCAACAAGGGACAAGAAACAACACAGAGACAACATGACTGGATAAATGAACTTTACGAGATATCAAATAAATAATGAAAATTAATCTCTCTCCTCTCCTCTCCTCTCCTCTCCTATCCTCTCCTCTCCTCTCCTCTCCTCTCTCCATTCCTCTCCTCTCCTCTCCTCTCCTCTCCTCTCCCTCTCTCCTCTCCAGGCACATGAGTTTCTTTGCGTCCAAGGCGAGTCCAACCAGTGTGATTCTGGACCTGTGGGAGGCCCAACACTTCCACAGTGGAAACCTGAACCAGCTGGCCACCGTCATGGCCGACATCGGCAAGCAGGAAGCTATGATCTTCCTGGTCTCAGACGGAGACTGCTAGCCCTGGCTCTGTCCCAATTATGCACCCTATTCCCTAGATAGTGCACCAAAGTAGGGGACTACCTAGGTATTAGGGTGCCATTTGAGATTGGTCCCCTAAAGAGGGAGAGGACTTGAACAGGGTAGAATTTACAGACACAAGAGAGAAGAGAAGAGAAGAACACTCCCTCTCCCTCCTCTCCTCGATGAGAAAAGAGGAGCTAAACAGAACCAGGATTTGGGAACAGGGTTCATGTATGTTATGTTAGATCTATCTATCCTCCCATGTCTCCATTCAGAACCCGGATGTCTGGAGAAAGCAGGACCTGGGAGTGAGCTGGTCCTGTGAGGTTGTTTCTGGGTGAAGTGCTTTTTGTCAAAGTAAGGCAGGGATTCAACCCGTGTAGTGCTGTCGACAATGCATATTTTAAAGGCAATGTGCCCACATTTTGCGGAGATCACATTCAAGGGTAAAACGCTGCAGATGTCGGCTCGATTGGTTTTGCCTTTAAAAGGCGCGTAGTCGACAAAACATGAACGGATTGAATCCTGGTCCAGAGCTACTATGCCACAGGACTGTAGAGGACATCTGGTACACGGTATGGTATACCACTATGGCAGACAGGTGTACAAAGACCTCTTTATGTTGTTTAAGTCAAGGTCAGTAGCCATCAAAAGGTTTAACCTTATATCCAAGAGACTTAGGATCAGATGACCGACAAGCATTTACAACACATGGGCCATACTTGGCCACAAAGTAGCAATATGCAAAATAATCATATTATCCATCACGAAAGGACAACGTCAAGTTGGATCGTTTCTGCTTATGTTAGTCAGAGACAAACACGATCACGTTCAATATCTCATCTAAACCCCCCCCAGAGAAATTGAACTGTTTTGCCACTCTCTTACCAATGTGTGGTCAAACAGCAGAGTAGATTTATTTCTGCAACTGGCTCGACCATATTGTGAAGGAAAACACAAGGTTATCACTAGGGTCTATGGCAGGGTTCTTCAATTCCGGTCCTGGAGGGCCGAAACACTTCTGTTTTTTTATTTCTACCTGGTAGTTAATTGCACTCACCTGGTGTCCCAGGTCTGAATTTAGCCCCTGATTAGAAGGAGAGGATGAAAAACAGAGGTGTTTCGGCCCTCCAGGACCGGAATTGAAGAACCCTGCTATAGGCTCAAGACCTAATGTAGATGTTCCTTTTTTTGCTTCAAATGTAATAGTACCAAATGTATCATGGTGAGATTTCGTATTTATCAAATTCCTCAGTTTCTTAAGGTGCGATAGGGCCAAGGGGCATTCTCTCTCTCTCTCTCTCTCTCTCTCTCTCTCTCTCTCTCTCTCTCTCTCTCTCTCTCTCTCTCTCTCTCTCTCTCTCTCTCTCTCGCTCTCTCTCTCTCTCTCTCTCTCGCTCTCTCTCTCTCTCTCTCGCTCTCTCTCTCTCTTTCTCTCTCTCTTAAAAACTCATTTCTGAAGTGGCATTTGCTTCTGATGACTTTACGTATGTGTACCAAATGGCACCCTATTCCCTCTATAGTGCATAGGGCCTTGGTGTAATAGGGTGCCATTTGGGACATAGCCTAAGCCAGTGAGAGACGGGTTGTTGAAGCAGCATTTTAATCAGAAGGGACGTTCAGAGTTGTTGAAGCAGCATTTTAACCAGAAGGGACATTCAGAGTTGTTGAAGCAGCATTTTAACCAGAAGGGACGTTCAGAGTTGTTGAAGCAGCATTTTAACCAGAAGGGACGTTCAGAGTTGTTGAAGCAGCATTTTAACCAGAAGGGACGTTCAGAGTTGTTGAAGCAGCATTTTAATCAGAAGGGACGTTCAGAGTTGTTGAAGCAGCATTTTAACAAGAAGGGACATTCAGAGTTGTTGAAGCAGCATTTTAACCAGAAGGGACGTTCAGAGTTGTTGAAGCAGCATTTTAACAAGAAGGGATGTTCAGAGTTGTTGAAGCAGCATTTTAACCAGAAGGGTCGTTCAGAGTTGTTGAAGCAGCATTTTAACCAGAAGGGACGTTCAGAGTTGTTGAAGCAGCATTTTAACCAGAAGGGACGTTCAGAGTTGTTGAAGCAGCATTTTAACCAGAAGGGACGTTCAGAGTTGTTGAAGCAGCATTTTAACAAGAAGGGATGTTCAGAGTTGTTGAAGCAGCATTTTAACCAGAAGGGACGTTCAGAGTTGTTGAAGCAGCATTTTAATCAGAAGGGACGTTCAGAGTTGTTGAAGCAGCATTTTAACCAGAAGGGACATTCAGAGTTGTTGAAGCAGCATTTTAACCAGAAGGGACGTTCAGAGTTGTTGAAGCAGCATTTTAACCAGAAGGGACGTTCAGAAGAGATCCTTTGTCCTCCATGGTGAGTAATGTAACAGAAAGAACTGCTGGCAGAGAATCTGACAACTAATTATAATTTCCCAAATAACTTTCATTGAAACGGATAGTTACTTATGCAGCCTAGTGTTTTCATAATTCATAACGTTGTGTGGTGGTGGGCGAGGAATTCTCATTCTCTGAGTGTGACACAGGTCACCTGTCTCCTATGCCCTGTTAACACCTTGGAGAGAGTCAGAGAGGATTACTGATAATACTGCACCTCCTCTGTGAGTTTACCACTTTCCCAACAACACTTTTCCTCCTCTGTGAGTGTACCACTTTACCAACAACACTTTTCCACAACAGCACAACAAATGAGGCAGATAGTCTAACCATGAAATCAAGAATACACAGCTATAGACTATTTACTGTCAACAGAATACACAGCTATATACTATTTACTGTCAACAGAATAAACAGCTATATACTATTTACTGTCAACAGAATACACAGCTATATACTATTTACTGTCAACAGAATACACAGCTATAGACTATTTCCTGTCAACAGAATACACAGCTATATACTATTTACTGTCAACAGAGTACACAGCTATAGACTATTTACTGTCAACAGAATACACAGCTATATACTATTTACTGTCAACAGAATACACAGCTATAGACTATTTACTGTCAACAGAATACACAGCTATAGACTATTTACTGTCAACAGAATACACAGCTATAGACTATTTACTGTCAACAGAATACACAGCTATAAACGATATTTACTGTCAACAGAATACACAGCTATAGACTATTTACTGTCAACAGAATACACAGATATAGACTATTTACTGTCAACAGAATACACAGCTATAGACTATTAACTGTCAACAGAAAACACAGCTATAGACTATTTACTGTCAACAGAATACACAGCTATATACTATTTACTGTCAACAGAATACACAGCTATAGACTATTTACTGTCAACAGAATACACAGCTATAGACTATTTACTGTCAACAGAATACACAGCTATAGACTATTTACTGTCAACGGAATACACAGCTATAAACGATATTTACTGTCAACAGAATACACAGCTATAGACTATTTACTGTCAACAGAATACACAGATATAGACTATTTACTGTCAACAGAATACACAGCTATAGACTATTAACTGTCAACAGAAAACACAGCTATAGACTATTTACTGTCGACAGAATACACAGCTATAGACTATTTACTGTCAACAGAATACACAGATATAGACAATTTACTGTCAACAGAATACACAGCTATAGACTATTTACTGTCAACAGAATACACAGCTATAGACTATTTACTGTCAACAGACTACACAGCTATAAACAATATTTACTGTCAACAGAATACACAGCTATAGAATATTTACTGTCAACAGAATACACAGCTATAGACTATTTACTGTCAACAGACTACACAGCTATAAACAATATTTACTGTCAACAGAATACACAGCGATATACTATTTACTGTCAACAGAATACACAGCTATAGACTATTTAATGTCAACAGAATACACAGCTATATACTATTTACTGTCAACAGAATACACAGCTACATACTATTTACTGTCAAAAGAATACACAGCTATAGACTATTTACTGTCAACAGAATACACAGCTATAGGCTATTTACTGTCAACAGAATACACAGCTATAAACTATTTACTTTCAACAGAATACACAGCTATAGACTATTTACTGTCAAAAGAATACATAGATATAGACTATTTACTGTCAACAGAATACACAGCTATAGACTATTTACTGTCAACAGAATACACAGCTGTAGACTATTAACTGTCAACAGAATACACAGATATAGACTATTAACTGTCAACAGAATACACAGCTATAGACTAATTACTGTCAACAGAATACACAGCTATAGACTATTTACTGTCAACAGAAAACACAGCTATAGACTATTTACTGTCAACAGAATACACAGCTATAGACTATTTACTGTCAACAGAATACACAGCTATAGACTATTATCTGTCAACATAATACACAGCTATATACTATTTACTGTCAACAGAAAACACAGCTATAGACTATTAACTGTCAACAGAGTACACAGCTATAGACTATTTACTGTCAACAGAATACACAGCTATAGACTATTTACTGTCAACAGAAAACACAGCTATAGACTATTTACTGTCAACAGAATACACAGCTATAGACTATTTACTGTCGACAGAATACACAGCTATAGAATATTTACTGTCAACAGAATACACAGCTATAGACTATTTACTGTCAACAGACTACACAGCTATAAACAATATTTACTGTCAACAGAATACACAGCGATATACTATTTACTGTCAACAGAATACACAGCTATAGACTATTTAATGTCAACAGAATACACAGCTATAGACTATTTACTGTCAACAGAATACACAGCTACATACTATTTACTGTCAAAAGAATACACAGATATAGACTATTTACTGTCAACAGAATACACAGCTATAGACTATTTACTGTCAACAGAATACACAGCTATAAACTATTTACTTTCAACAGAATACACAGCTATATACTATTTACTGTCAAAAGAATACATAGATATAGACTATTTACTGTCAACAGAATACACAGCTATAGACTATTTACTGTCAACAGAATACACAGCTATAGACTATTTACTGTCAACAGAATACACAGCTATAGACTATTAACTGTCAACAGAATACACAGATATAGACTATTAACTGTCAACAGAATACACAGCTATAGACTATTTACTGTCAACAGAATACACAGCTATAGACTATTATCTGTCAACAGAATACACAGCTATAAACTATTTACTTTCAACAGAATACACAGCTATATACTATTTACTGTCAAAAGAATACATAGATATAGACTATTTACTGTCAACAGAATACACAGCTATAGACTATTTACTGTCAACAGAATACACAGCTATAGACTATTTACTGTCAACAGAATACACAGCTATAGACTATTAACTGTCAACAGAATACACAGCTATAGACTATTAACTGTCAACAGAATACACAGCTATATACTATTTACTGTCAACAGAAAACACAGCTATAGACTATTTACTGTCAACAGAAAACACAGCTATAGACTATTTACTGTCAACAGAATACACAGCTATAGACTATTTACTGTCAACAGAAAACACAGCTATATACTATTTACTGTCAACAGAATACACAGCTATAGACTATTAACTTTCAACAGAGTGCACAGCTATAGACTATTTACTGTCAACAGAATACACAGCTATAGACTATTTACTGTCAACAGAAAACACAGCTATATACTATTTACTGTCAACAGAATACACAGCTATAGACAATTTACTGTCAACAGAATACACAGCTATAGACTAATTACTGTCAACAGAATACACAGCTATAGACAATTTACTGTCAACAGAATACACAGCTATAGACTATTTACTGTCAACAGAATACACAGCTATAGACTATTTACTGTCAATAGAATACACAGCTATAGACTATTTACTGTCAACAGAATACACAGCTATAGACTATTTACTGTCAACAGAATACACAGCTATAGGCTATTTACTGTCAACAGAATACACAGCTATAGACTATTTACTGTCAACAGAATACACAGCTATAGACTATTTACTGTCAACAGAATACACAGCTATAGACTATTTACTGTCAACATAATACACAGCTATAGACTATTTACTGTCAACAGAAAACACAGCAACAGCAAAACAGATGAGGCAGGTACACTGCCCATGAAACCAACTAGGCACTATTTACTATCTTAAGCTTTGTTGACGTCCAACGAATCAAGCATTTATTAAAATAATAACAATTTAATTTACAAAGTGGTGCTTTCCCAGTGGTATGGTGGTGGAGTCCCCTATGGGCCCTTGTCAAAAAGTTGTGAACTATAAAGTGAAATAGGGTGCCGTTTGAGACACAGACATAGTCCTCAGATTCAGGGTCGTGTTGAAAGAGAGAGAGAGCCCCCTCCGTCCCTTCAATTATGTCACGATCGTCGATGAAGTAGGACCAAAGCGCAGCGTTGGTAGCGAACATATTTATTATTTAAACGTACACACGAACAAAACAACGAAAACGTGACGTCTATGGTACAACATGAAACCACACGAACAAAATCCCACAAACACAAGGTGAACACAGACAGTTTAAATATGGCTCCCAATCAGAGATAACGAGCCGACAGCTGACACTCGTTACCTCCGATTGGGAGTCATTGACCAAATAAGGGAAACACAAAACCAATGACCACCCAACCAAACAAAACACAACCAAAACGAACACACCCTGGCTCAAAATACAAAGTCCCGGAGCCAGAGCGTGACAGTACCCCCCCCCTAAAGGCGCGGACTGCGACCGCGCCTCAAAACCCCAAATAGGGGAGGGCTGGGTGGGTGTTGCTCCTCGGAGGCGGCTCCGGCTCCGGGCTTGACCACCACCCTACTTCAATCCCCGCATAACGGCCCCGATCCGATCTGACCCAGCTGGCTGGATCAGGACTGACGACGCGCACCCCTGGCTTAGCGCGTGAGGCAGGAACGGACCGGACCTGGCTGACGATACGCACCCTAGGCTTGGTGCGTGGAGCCGGAACGGACCTCACCAGGCTGACGACTCGCATTCCTGGCTTGGTGCGAGTAGCAGGAATGGGCTGGACCGGGCTGACGACTCGCACCCTTGGCTTGGTGCGAGTAGCAGGAACGGGCTGAACCAGGCTGACGACTCGCACCCTTGGCTTGGTGCGAGTAGCAGGAACGGGCTGAACCAGGCTGACGACTCGCACCCTTGGCTTGGTGCGAGTAGCAGGAACGGGCTGGACCAGGCCGACGACTCGCATCCCTGGTTTGGTGCGAGTAGCAGGAACGGGTTGAACCAGGCTGGCGACTCGCACCCCTGGTTTGGTGCGAGTGGCAGGAACAGGCCGAGCTGGGCTGGCGACGCACCCCGTAGGCTTTGTGCGTGGAGCAGGAACAGGCCGAGCTGGGCTGGCGACGCACACCGTAGGCTTTGTGCGTGGAGCAGGAACAGGCCGAGCTGGGCTGGCGACGCGCACCACAGACTCGGTGCGGAGCGCAGGAACGGGCCGGGCTGGCGACGCGCACCACAGACTCGGTGCGGAGCGCAGGAACGTGCCGGGCTGGGCTGGCGACGCGCACCACAGACTCGGTGCGGAGCG